TCTGAGAAGCTTCCCTTTGGTGGCGAGAAGGATGCTGGCTTTGGAGCCAGTCAGACGCAGGTTCAGACTCTAATTTGGTAGCTGTCTGACTTTGGGGAAGTTATTTAAACTCTACAGGTCTCAATCTTCTCTTCTCTCAAGTGGGCTAATAAAAGTAGCTGCCATGCTGTCTTGTTTTGAGGATTAAATGAGCGAATGCAGGGCATGGTGAGCATTTCACAGGGTCCAGTGCTGACACGTAAGCGAAGCGTGCTCTCGGTGAGATCGGTACTTCTATCGCAGGAGCCCTCCAAACACAGGCCTTCAGGGCACGCAGCGGGCTATAGATGAGGCCAGTTCAGGTGGTGACAAGGGAGGTGAGCCTTATCCATGGCTGGTGGGGTTGCAGGGGGTCACTCCACTGCTGTTCAGTTACCCTTGGTCGGCAGGGCAGCACAGGTGCCATCCAAAACAGGCTGGGCCCACCCAATATTTAACCTTCCGATACTTCCCCTCCTCTGTACTAGAAACCTGGCTCCATTCCCTCCCGGGTAATTCTGGGGCACACTAGAAAGAAAGGAAGAGCTGAGAGGGCATTCAGAGCACTGTGTGAGATTCCTCCATTGATTGTCCCCCTGGCTCTGGAAACCCTGTTGTCCTTTCCATGTTTATTCCAGGCCCTCTCTTGTGACCACTCCCTGCCTTTCCCCTTTCCCTGCACTTGAGAAAGTTGCGCCATTTCCCCCCAGGACCTGGTAGGAGGGCAGTGAGTGCCTTTCACCAGTTGCTCCAGCCCCAGCTCCCTTCCCCTTTCTCAGGGCGGTCCAGGCCCCTACCTGAGAACCCCGTTGCTATAGAAACAACCACCAGAAAAGCAGGATGTGGAGGAGGCTGGCAGGTGCGTTGGGGCCAGACCTTTCTTAGAGATATGTTATTTTTGCTTAGTTTTGGGTGGAGAAACACACCTCATATTCCCTGTTGCTTTCCTTCATCGTGGGGCGGTCTCTACCCCATACATGAGATTTAATTTTAAATTTCTGCAGCAGGAACACGCAGTCATTTTTAGCGGGCTGGTTTGGGAGCTTTTGAACGGCCCCTGGAATCCGTGAGGATCAACAGGAGCCGGCAGGGCTGGGCTGTGTTTGATTTAAAATTGGAAACACACTAGGCAGAGGGGTGGCTTTATATAGTCTGGGAGGTCCAGGAGCCCTGAGCACTGATTTATGAGAAGCTTGGTGAGAGCACATGAAAGCCGAGGTAATATTTATAAATTCTTTCCCCGAGGATGGATGGAATGTTCTTCTGAGCTGCAGTCAGAGAGCACCTTTTTGGGGGATGAAGGGAGATTGTTTAAGTCCAGTTATTCAGTGACTGAAACAAAAGGGGAACGTGGATGAGGAGCAGCTGCCTCGAAGTCTGTTCCAGAAGACACCAGGCGAGGAAGCCCGGCTCTGCAGGCCTCTCTGTCCTGCCATCCTCAGGGCTTCCCTCTAGTGCTCGGGCCCCCATGCCTCCGCTTCCCCCATTCAACAAGGCCAGGGACCTACCGCTGGCAATCAGGGTGACTGCATTTTACAAACAAATGTCTATCTTGGTGTCTTGGGACAGGACAGGTCCTGGGTAGCACAGGGAGGAAGAAAGGAAAAGAAGATGGAGCAGGAGGGGCAAGGAGGCTGAAGACAGATATAGGTTTTTGCCCCAGGGGACCCGAGTCCTGAAGCTGACGTGGGCCAGGACTCATTGAATGAGAAGAGCTGCTGCCCAGCCTGGCAGTGGGTGCTGTGACGGGCTGGACGCTGCAAGCCACCGTGAGGGGCTTGCACCCGCTGTGAGTTTTGGACCCACCGGCCAAGCCAGGGGACTCTCCTAGAATTAGAGAGTGTCCACCCAACTGAGTGCCCCTTGGGCCTGGCATCCCTGTCCTTAACCCAGGAGGCTGGGAGAGAGCTGAGCCACATGGCTGAGCTGGCTGATGACAACTTCACTTGAACGAGCAAGGACGACGGAAAAGATTATAAAAAATTGTATGCAGGAGTGAAAAACCAGGAGTGGGGAAGAGAGTGTCTTCAAGGCTGGGCCACCTTGATCTTCCATCTCAGATTTTGCATCTGCATACAAAAGGAATCCCTTTTATTACTAATCCGAGTCTGAGGTTCCCAAGGGGCATTTCCCACCTGGTACTTAGGGCCCCCGAGAGCAGTGGTGGGAGCACAGGGCGATGGTCCGAGGGGCTCTGCTGTCTCGGGGCGGTGGGGGAATTCTCACCTCAGTTCCAGGCCAGAGCCCCCATCTGCAACCTGGCTTCTGGGGCAGTCAAGAAACACCAAAGGGAGGGCGGGGGGCTTGTCAGGAGGTCTTTCTGTAATAGCAGCCCAGTTCCTGTCCTGACCCCAAGGATTCTCAGGAAAGGCTCTAAAGCTATTAAAATGCAGGCAGCCTGGTTCTGGCATGATGATGCAGTTGCATCTACTTCTGTTAATCGCCGGAGGCTGGGTGGAAGGCACCAAAGGCCCCTCATCCCCTCCCGGCTGAAGGTCAGCAGACGGATAGGTCCCATACCCGCCGGGGCTTGGTTTGGCTGACACTGGGCAAGAGGGGGTTAAATGCCCACTCCTGAACCAGGTCCCTGCTGGCGCCTGCAGAACTGGTGGACCCTCCTTGTGCAGAGGGACCTCTGACTCATCCCTTCCTCGCCTGTGTTTCGTTCCTCTTGCAGCATTTAGATGTCCCATGAAAGACACTAACGTTGGAATTGTGTTGTCCCTGGGGGTGACATCAATGTTTCTTTTGGCAGGTGGGACCATCATTCATGTCTGAACCTCTAAGGCGACCACTGGCATGGCTCTTCTGCTCACGGGCCCCCAAGGTGCTGCGTCCAATGACATCTGGACGCTCTGTCCACACTGACGAGGCTTGTTCCCAAGTCTCCACCTGCGGGTGCTCAGCCAGGCCCGACCGCTTAACTCCTGTGAGGCCCTGCTGTCAGAGCACCACCTAAAGGGGCTTTATAGCCACACCACCCTGGGGCCCCTTCCCATCCCAGACCCACCCCTGGGGCCCCTCAGCTCCTGCCCCTTCCCATCCTCATCTTTTACCTTGGACTATTCCCAGGGGTAGAAATACGTTGCCAGAGCATTAGAGCTGGAAGGAATTCCTAAAGGCGATAGCAATAGTAGCTGTCATTTATGAAGCACCTGCTGCCTGCCACACATGTTAAGGTTGTTTCTAACCCTCACAAGTGCTCCAGAGAGGTGCTGTTATACCGGTCAGGTCACAGGGAACGTGAAGGGTCTGTGGAGAGGTGGTACAGCGTGGTCGAGGGCACAGACTGGCATTCAATCCCTGCTCTGTCACTTTCCAGCTGCGGGACATCAGGCTGATTTCTTAAGCTCTCTGTGTCTCAGCTTCCTCGTTTGTAAGACAGGGAAACTACTAGTAGTAGCTAGTGCATAGGGTGGCAGTGAGCTGCTGTGCATACAGAGGCTTACAACAGTGTCCGGCACCCAGGAGGGACTGCAAGAGTGTCAGCTATCATGGTGGTGAGGATAAGGGATCGGGGCATGGTCGGCAGGGCAGCAATAATTGCAAGGCCAGGAATCCCTGTCTGTCGGGCCCCAAAGCCCACGTTCTTCATTTTACATGTGAGGAAACATGCAAGGTGGGGAGAGGGTGTCAAGGAAAAAGGACTGACCCAAAATGGGCCAGCTGCTTTGTGACTGTCCCAGGGCTGGCAGCCCTTTTGGATGGGCCCCCCCAAGGTAGTGTCCACCCCACAAAACACTGCCTCCCTTTGGAACTAAAGTGACCTCTGGCAAGGCCCCTTCGCCCTCTGCGTTGTCTGATGTGACCTCTGGGAGGATGCGGTAGACTGCAGGAAGTAGATTCTGCCCACACGTGCTGGGCACGCATTAACCCTCTCTAGTCTTTTCTGTCTTGTCACCACAGAGCCTGCACAGCAACCAGAGTGAATAGAGGACAGACATCAACGTGATCAGTGTTCCTCCCAGCTGGAAGCGACTCCAGACCTTCAGGAGCTCTCCATGGATTTTTAACCGCTCTTTGCTACTGCCTTGGCCATTTTATTTGAAATAAATATTCAAGATTGACCTCCCCTACACTTCTTTCTTTTTGCTACACCCACCAGTACAAGATTTCATTGCAATTTTGAAAGTCTCAAAAAATGGAGATTCCTGCCTCATTCAAACCCTTGACTTAACAAGGACCATTTCGGGCAGAATCAGAAAAAGGAATGTGATAGGAACACAAGCGTTTTATTTATCCCCCTGCAACTTCCCTCTCTCTTTCATTTGACTTTCCCCCCATGAAGATGAATACAGACGTATTACAACGGACCCCAGCTTTACTCCCAGCTTCAAACGACGAGTCAGAGCAGTTTGGTGAAGACAAAAGGGAACAAGTGGGCACCGTGAGGAGCGAAGTGATGTTTCTCAGGAGGCCTGATCTCAGTTGTCAAAGTCTCTGTCACCAAACCACACTCCAGGGCCCAGAGTCCTCCCACCTGCCTGAATCCAACAGCAGATGATTTCAGGCCACAGAGGCTCCCAGAGTGGGTATTGTGGGTTGCAGTGGCCCTGGTCCGTGGGCTGAGTGCCTCTTAGGGGTCCTGTCCAGAGGGCTCCCTGAGGCCACACTGAGCCCTCCCTGTGGCCGGTGGAGTCAGCGCAACTTTTACTGATCCTTCTGCTCACTGTCTGTGCACAGTGCTGTCACTTCTACTCCTGAGTGACAGAAGCACTTCAGGTTTGGGAGTGAGCGGCCTGTGTCTTTCTGGATGAGAAGAGGATGGGAGGAGATTGGCAGGAAAGAGGAGACAAAAGTGAGATGCGGAAAGGTGGATTGAATCAACCTTGCCCGAGGAGGAAGTGTCCAGAGGAAGCTGGAGGAATGGAGGAAGCAATGCAAAGCCTGAGGTTCTTACAATGGCTAGAGAGAGATCCCTCAGCAAAGCATGAAGCTGGGGCAGCATGCGGGGGTGGCTGGAGCACCTGGGCCCCCGCCCCTCACTTGGGGACCAGCATGCGGACGAACTCCTCATAGTTCACCTGCCCATCCCCATCCACATCGGCTGCCCGGATCATCTTGTCCACCTCCTCTTTGGTCAGCTTCTCTCCCAGCCTGGTTGTCATGTGCCGTAGCTCAGCCGTGCTGATGAAGCCGTTGCCATCCTTGTCGAACATGCGGAAGGCCTCCCGGATCTCTTCCTCACTGTCCCTGTCCTTCATCTTCTTGGCCATCATGTCCAGGAACTCAGGGAAGTCCACGGTCCTGTTGCCATCATGGTCGACCTTGCTCACCATGCCCTGTAGCTCGGCCTCTGTGGGGCTCTGGCCTAGGGACCGCATGACAGTGCCCAGCTCCTGGGTGGTGATGATGCCATCCCCATCCTTGTCGAACAGGGCGAAGGCCTCCCTGAAGACGGCCACCTGCTCCTCTGTCAGCTCATCAGCCATGGGAGGTGTGGGGTGGTGGTGGAGGTGTGGGGTGGTGGTGCAGGTGTGGATGCGTGCGGGTCCCCAACTCTGGTCTCAGCTGGGCTCCTCTCCCAACTCTGGAGGACTGGTGCTGATACCAGGGGGCCAGTCGGCTGGTGTTCTAGCCCTGGCTTGACTTGCTGGTGCTTAAGAAGGAGCAGGCTTCTCCCTCACCATTCAGACTCCCCGCCCTGTGGTTGCCTGAAGGCCAAGTCCTGTTTGAACAGGAACAAGGCTGGTTCCCTGGGACCAGGAACAAGGCTGGTCAGCTAATTGAGCTGACACTAGCATCTCTGTGTGGGCAGTCGGCTCCCCACACTGCCGTCACTCAGAGCTGCCAGGAGCCACTGCAAGGATACCTTCAATGAAGGCGTGGTAGACAACCCATACAGAGATTAATTTGGGTTTTTCCTCCTTGAATTTTCCCTTTCCTCTCTCTCCTCTCCAATCTTCACACCCTTCACTCAATAAAATAACCGGTTGAGGTTTTGGGCAGGGTGAAAAGCAGAAGTTGTCTTTGCCTGGAAGGAATTTCCTTTCCTAGTCTTTAGTTCCCAAAGCCTGAAAGGCTGAGGGCTCCCAAGAGGGTTTCAAAGAAGGAAGAAAAGGGTTTTCTTCACTTAGAAGCTGACTGTCTTCTTATCTTCAGAAAAACATGAATGGAGAAGGATTTTCTCCAATCGTTCATTCACTCATTCAATCATAGATGTTTATTGAGGGCCTACTACGTTCAGGTGCTGCTCTGGAAGCTGGGAATAGAGCCATGAACTGGACAGGCAACCCTCAGTCCTCGAGAAGCTGATATTCCATCCATGAGACAGCTAGTTAGCAAGTAAACTAACAAAGAAACCAAGGCAGGATAATTAGATCTTTTTGATGAATGCCCTGAAGGAATCAAACAGCTAATGCGAAGAGAACATGGGGAGGTGACTACTATAGCAATGGTCAAGGATGGCTTCTCTGCAGAGTTGCACCTGAGGGTGGCCTGAAGGGGGAGAGGGGGCTTTCCAGGTGGGAGGCTGAGCCGGCTCAAGAGTCCAGGAGTGGGAGAGGGCTTGGCATGGCCAGGGGACACAGACGTGGCTGCAGCCCGAGAGAAGAAGGAGATAAGGAAGGCTGGACAAGTGAGGCTTTGCAGAATGCGGTGAGGAATTCGCATTTTATTCTCTGGTTGATGCGAACCCCAGATGTTTTAAGCAAAGGCATGTCTGAAGCTCTGAGGCCCTGGTTTGTGGGGAGCCAGAGCTGAAGTAAGGGGTATTTTTAAGAGTACAAAGATTCAGCTCCCAACCCCCAGGAAGCATGGGGAACTGACCACTGAGTAAGAAGAGGTTGATTTGCTTGTGGGAACCTATGAAAATCCAAGCTGGAGAGTCCCGGAAGAGCTGACACGATATTGAAGGAGAAGAACAATGTGGGACGGTTGACACCTCCTGACTTCAAGACTAACTATAAAGCTACAGTAAATAAGATGGTGTGGTATTGGCCAGAGAATAGACACATAGATCAATGGGAACAGAATAGAGAGCCCAGAAACAGACCCACACAAATAGTCAACTGATCTTTGAAAAAGGAGCAAAGGCAATACAACGGGGAAAAGAAAGCGTTTCCAACAAATGGTGCTGAAACAACTGTGTCCCTCCAAAATAAATATGCTGAACCCTAACCCCCAAAGGGGGCAATAGCAGCAGGAGGCAGAAGGAGAGCCCTGGACATGGGCATGTAACTGATGCAGTGTCCTGGAGAACCAAGGGCTGGCCCCATGGGAGGACCTGGGCCTGAGACAGTCCCACTGATGGATGGAGACTGCAAGGCCGGACAAGAATACGTTCTTGCTTCCTGCCTACTTCACCTACAGAAGGATACGTGGCCAGAAGGTGTCCGCAGATTTCATGGTGTCGAGGGTCAAATATCCAGCCTTCGCCTAAGTGTGTTCTTCAAAAAGGCACACTGAAAAAGAACTCAGTAAGGATTTTGAACAGAGTCACTCATGACTCGCAGAGGATAGTGCTGTATGGGCTGAACTGTTGCAACTCGCTAGTTAGGGAACTGTGACAGAGCGAATGTGCTTTATTTCGTGGGCTCTGTAATTCTCTCCCTGCAGCCTCTCAGTGCACTGACTCCTTTCCGTACAGAATATATTTCTGATCTTAGGACCCATCCTAACATTTAAAAATTATTGAGGACTCCAAAGAGTTTTTAAATTTTTATTTATTTATTCATGTATTTATTTTCCAGCTTTATTTAGATATAAGTGACATATAATACTGGGTAAGTTTAACCTGTACAAAATGTGTTTTGATACAATTACATATTGCAAAATGTTTACCAAACAGCGTTAGGCAACACATCTATTATATTACATAATAATGACTGCTACTTGTGTTGGAACATTGAAGATATACTTCCTTACTGACACTAAAGTATGTAATACAGTATTATTAACTACAGTCACCATGGTGTATATTGGACCCCCAGAACTTACTCACCTTATAACTGGAAGTTTGTATTTCCAAAGAGTTTTTGTCTGCATAAGTGGAGTGTATCTATTAATATTTACTTGGTTTGAAAGTAAAACTGAGAATTTAAATATATTTAAATATTTAAATTTAAATATTTAAATATATTTATTTGTAACTTTTAAGAAATAGAAATAAAAAACCTATTACATGTTAACATAAATTAGTTTTATGAAAAACAATTATATTTCCAAAACAAAAAATAAAGAGGAGTGGCACCTTAAAAAATAATTTTGCAGATCTCATTAATGTCTGGCTTCGTGGATGCGTGTCCGCTTCTGCACTCGGTCTGTATGAAGGTGTTGGTTTCATTTGAAGTGGAGAATAATCCAGCTTCACAAAGATATGGAGTCGGAAAAGGAGAGAACATTTAAATGACTCAGATAATTGTGGATATTCTCCTTTGATGCCGTATCAAAATTTGACAAGTGATAGTTTCTTAAAGGTTAGTGATAGTGTGGAATCCAAAACCGTGTCAATGAATTTTTCGTACTGTTAGGTTAAAAATCCATTGGTCACTCTTGTGCTTTGAATGGATCTTTACCTCATGCATGATTTTGTAATGCCATGCATTGGTCATTTGGAAAATATTGGTTCCCTGAGTTCTGTAGGTTTTTGGAATATTGAACCATTACACGTATAATAAAAAAAAAATCACATTCATCAATATCACCACCAATCCCATTAGAAAAGTCTTGAAGAATTGGAAAGTCTCAGGCACACAGTGGCACATTTGAAATTTCCAAAATTCTGGTTTTCATTTGGAAGCTCAAAGTTTATCATTGGCAACAAATACTGTCAGTTGTTTTTCTTGAAATGACAGGCTCACTTCATCCGTTTTCGAGAAAATGTCTGCCAAATACCAAGTCTGAGAAACCACAGTTTGTCCGTCAGCTGTTCTTTCCAATCAAAACGGCGTTCCATGAAAAAACTGACCCCGCTATTCATGCACTCAACATGAGTGCCTTTCTGTGACAACCATCGTATTTCAACATTCAGCAGAAGGTTAAGGATGTGCATGCTAGGGTTGAAATTTAATAAAATAATAATTTTGCTACTTTTCTGAGAATATTCTTTTTTTTTTACAGGGAAAGATTCACCCTGAGCTAACATCTGTTGCCAATCTCCCCCACCCCCTTTTTTTCCTCCCCAAAGTCCCCAGTTGTAGGTCTTTCTAGTTCTTTTACATGAGCCACCACCATAGCATGGCAACTGACAGATGGGTGGTGTGGTGTGGTGATGGACTGGGGCCACCCAAGCACTGAACTTTAACCCCTAGGCCATCAGGGCTGGCTCTCCAAGAACATTCTTAAGAGAAACTGGCTTTTTCTAAAATTGAGACCGTGTGGTGGTGAAGAATGTAATGACGACAGAACAGGAGCTGCGATCCATGCTAAGGGGCTAGTAATTTTACCCACCATTGCTTTTGACCTCAGTGCAAGACGTCAACACGGTGAAAAAGGCAAATAACGTCTTAGAATTGTTATGAGAATAGTTTTGACCTCCCAGACCCCCTGAAAGTGTTTTGAGGACATCCTCCCCCACAAACGGATCCATGGAACACACTTGGAGGACCATGGTGGTGGAGGGTTGGGAACCAGGAGCCTGAACCAGGTTTAGAATGCCCTGGGCTGGAGGTGAGAGGAGCTGAAGATGCTGGAATTCGTAGGGATGGTGCTGGCCTTATAGAGTTCAGTGTCAATGAGGACAACAGTGGGCAGACACCCAGTGAAGGAATCTACCTGCTGCTGCTACTTCCTTTCAAGAGCAGACGACCCAAGGTGTTTTTCCCTCTGAATTGGTGCTATAATAGCTTTTGTTAAAAAGAATTGGTTCAGGGCCAGTGCTGGTGGCCTGGTGGTTAAGTTCAACCTGCTCCACTTTGGCAGCCTGGGTTTGGTTCCCGGGTGTGGACCTACACCACTCATAAGCGGCCATACTATGGCAGTGACTCATGTAGAAAAAAGAAGATTTGGCAACAGATGTTAGCTCAGGGAAACTCTTCCTCAGCAAAAGAAAAAAAAAAAGAAAAAGAAAAAGAAAAAAAAAGAATGCGTTTAGCACCCTAGTGAACGTGCCTCTCCTGCTGGGGCTATAGAGAAAGATGAAGATCAGGATTCCCCAATCTCTTCAACCACTTCCTTTCCTGTGCTCTGCTAGAATGGGTGTGGCTGAGAGTGGCCCTGGGCCTTTCTCTCTCTTTGTCTTGATTAAGCCATTTGCCACCCCCAGCATTGGCTCATCGACTTCCCTTTCCGGTATAAATATACACACCTGTCTTAATGTGCTCTGGCTGCTGTAACAAAATGCCGCCCCCTGGGTGGCTTATTAACAGCAGAACTTTACTGCTCACAGTTCTGGAGGCTGGAAGTCCCGATCAGGGTGTGGCCTGGTTGGGTGAGGCCTCTCTTCTGGGTTGCAGACTTCTTGCTGGGTCCTCATGTGGTGGAAAGGGCTGGGGGTCTCTCTGGATCCTATAGGGGCACCAATCCCATTCGTGAGGGATCTGCCCTCATGGCCTAATCATCTCCCAAACGCCCCACCTGCTAATACCATCTCCTTTGGGGGTTAGAATTCCACATATGAATTTGGGGGGCACACAAGCATTCTCACCATGGCACACCATTACAATGTAACATTTATGGGTTAACTTCCTACTCATTGAGCAGTTACTCCATGGCAAGCCCCTATAAAGCACGTTCGTTCACATTGTCTGTGTCTCCGGATTAGAGATGAAGGATGTGAGAATCGGCAAATGAGTGATGATTAGACAACCAGCAAGCTGAAAACTTGGACTGGAGCTGGGTCTTCCAACTCTTACCACCCCCAGCTAGCAGCTGTTTTCTTCCTAGTCTTCACCAACTCAGTCTTCTGCCTTCTTATTGGGCTCCTGCAAAGTAGGCTTGAGAATCTGGAACTCACTTGCCGTAGATGTCTTTCAGGGCAGGAAAATATCAAGATGCACTTGCTGATACCAGAGCCTTCCCACCAAGCACCTTGAGTACCCATCTACCAGCTTAACACCTCCACTGAGTATTTAACGGGCACCTCCAAGTTAGCTGGACAAAGCAGAGTTCTTGGTCCTCATCTGAACATGCTTTTCCCCTAGTCTTCCTCATCTCTTTAAAAAAAAACCCACTCAATTGTTCAGAACAAAACCCTAGAGTCATATTTAATTCTTCCCTTTCTCTTGCACTGCACAGCCTGTCTTTCAGCTCTACGCATCACTGCACCAGGCCAGTCATCTCGAGGCAGGATTGCTCCAACAGCCTCATAACTGGTCTCCGTTTTTGTGTTATAAGTCAGTGTATGTCATTTCCTGCTCAAAATCCTATAATGGCATCTCTCTGGATTTCAGTAAAATCCAAACTGCCTACCGTGCCTTCTTGGCCTTCCGTGACTGTTTCCTCACTGTCGTCACATCGCCCACCCCCCAACTCTATGCTCCAACCACACTAGCCTACCTTCTTCTACTTGAACGCTCTCAATCTGATTTGCACCTTAGCATCTTTGCATGAGCTGCTCCATCTGCCTGGATGCTCTGTCCCCGACCTTCAGGCAGCTGCTCCTTCTTGTCACTTCAGTCAAAAGTCAGATATCACTGCCTTGTGAGCCCTTCCCCAACCACCTGCTTTTACTTAAGCCTCCCCTCCATCTCATCACTGCTATTTTATTCCCCTCTTTTATTTTCTTCATAACTCACACTCCTACAGTTCTTTCGTTTGTTTGTTTACTCGCTTATTTTCTGTTTCTTCCCACGTAGGTTTCACAAGAGGCGAGGCTGCTTCTGGTTTCTTTCCCCATCATCAAGCCCTCTCAGGTAGGACCGGCCCTGTGCTGAGCAGCCTGCAATCAACGTTTGCTAAATGCATAGACTACAGGAGGGTCACGTTGTTGCAAAAGGGCAGTGTTGCCTCCACCTGCACGAGGACTGCTGGCACTGTATCTTCCCTTTGCGTCCTTCCTTCTGGCTCACAGCCTCCGTGGTGTACCTCAAATGGTCTTGCCCAAATGCCTTTTGATTCACCTTGTGTGGTCTGTCATTTCCCCCTCTGCAGTTCTCAGGTTTGCTCAGTGGCTCCGTGGGGACTGGTGACCTCTGTGTTGGCCCCTGGGAGCAGCTGCTGATGCTTCACTCTCTGGACACGCACCTGTGTCATGTCCTCTGTTTCTCATGTCTGCATAGATGCTAGCAAGCACCCCCGCTCCCGCACACACCATCAGTGCTGCCTGGGCCTTGTGAAGATGGACTTATGCTCCCAACTCCCTGCAAGCCATCTGGTCATGTGGCACTTTTATCTAACTCACTGTTTATTATGGTCACCACCCTGGGCCTCTGGCACAGGCTCCCTAGAGAGAGGTCAGAGCGCAGTCGAAGTGATGGGGCTCATCAGATCTAGGGGTGAGCTGCAACTCTATCCTCAAAGCTGGACGTGAGTTAGGCAGACAGTCCGACCAGCATCAATCTATAGGGCCTAGGCAGAGGGATGGCGGCGGGGAGGGGTTTCAGAAGAGAGACAAGAGAGTGTCCTGGGAAGTACCGGAGCATGGCCAAAGGACCTGTGGTCAGGCCTCCAACCTCTCCCCTTGGGGGTGGGTTCTGCTCGTGTGGCTTTACGGCCACTCTATGACAAAAGCAACAGAAGAGTTAAAATCACTCTTCAGAGTGTCCTTCCTCCAACCACACGTCCCATGGCAAGCTCTGGCTATCCCTTGTCTCGGCCTGTCTTCACGGTCCTCGGTCTCAGCAGCTAAAGTTCCTACCTGTGACTTTCCGTCCACACCTTCCCAAAGTCTCCTACAATGGGCCGATGCCTGAATTTGCAGGCGGTGCACAGCTTATGTTGTCGTTCTGGGATCTTTGCAATTCGTAGTCTAAGAAGCAACGACAATGACACAGACAAACAGGGGCTATAATGATGAGACACTCACCACGTTGTTCAAACCCAGCTGGGACAGCAGTGGCATTTATACTGAGCACATGGTGTTGACCAGCTACTTCTGCTTCTTGCTTTCCAAGGCCAACATGGACTGATAATAAACATGCCTTGCTCTATATTCCAGCTTATATTGACCGTGGAGCAAAACAACACCTTCTTAGTCACCCTCATAGCTAGGAAAGTGTCTTCTCAACTAATGGGGGAACTTTCTGTGGGAAGCAGGGGTCCTGGGTCTTCCCTTTTCACCTCCCCCACTAAAGGCTCTTCTAGATTGGTGCATGACTCAACTCTTGGCATGACTGGTCAATCTTGTGTGAATCATCAAGATTCCTCCAGGTCTGACCTGGGCTGGGCTGGAGTTTCAGTTCAGGGAGGAGACTTTTGTTCTAGATCAGACATGTGAGTTTAATAAAAAACTGATAATTAACCAGATGCATCATCATTTAGGAGGCTGGTGCACGGTGTCTCTCAGAGCTCGCTGGGCCGCCGCACTTTGCCTCCCGCTCGGTCGTAAAGTGCAGGAGTGGTTCACTTTTATGATTCGAGGCCTCACCTGCAGAATGAAGTCCACCAAGTGTGGAGGAAGCTGAACAATCAGATTGTTTTAGCGTTTCCTGGGCCTTCTTGGGGCGGTGTCCTCACGTCAGATCCCTCTGCTTTCAGCAGGTGGCAGGTTTATGAGGTCAGCCCCCAGGGGTGCCCCACCCCCTACCAAGGCCGCCTTTTAAGTAGGATCAAGCTCCTTAGCTGCTCAACTGCTGAGGCCAGCGCCTTCGTGCCCTTGAGCACCTCAAGCAGTGCATTTATGCAAGAGGCGACACGAGGGACATGAAAGAGATCTGTGTTTAATTTCTGAGAGCCACTTTGATTAAATTAGGATTAAATTAAGTGACCGCCCAAACCAAAGCAAACTAGTAATAAATCTCACAATCTTAGCAACCTCTTCTTGAACTTTCCACTTTTCCCAAGTAGCCCCCCTGCACCCACTCATCGACTCCCCTGCAGTGCGGGCAGGTGGGGGGGTTCTGGGCTGGCCTTGGGGAGCAGAAGGAGAAGGCAGGGGGCAGGGTGGAGGAGGGCAGGGCGGGGAGGAGAACGCGCTGGATGTGCAAGGGCTCATTTGTATGACCCACCAGCCTTTCAAACTGGATATTCGCTGGTTTGAAAAAAATTGACAAACAGAAAATATCAAAAGGGGTGATGTTGCTGAGGGCCCAGAGCCACACGCTACAGTTCTTTTGATACCAAGACGCATTGGATAAATCGGCTCAGAAGGCTCGGCGGCGGCGTTAAGCCCCATAACCACAGGGATGTGGTAATTATCTTCTGAGAACTTCCCCGAGGGGTGTGGAGCAGACCCCGAAGCAGGAGAAACTTTGGTTCCAAGTTCCAAGCTTTGAAGTCTACGACTGTGAGGAAAAGCCTTGCATTTAATACAGGAAGATGTGTGTGTGTGTGTGTGTGTGCGTGCGCGTGTGGCTCAAGCGTCCCTGTGTGGACGGGTGTGCCTGCTGATAAGCACATGAGGTGTGAGGATGCAGGAAGGGTTGGGGCGTGAGCTCGGTACCCGGGGAAGTGATTGGAGGGAGGCAGAGCGTTTCGGCAAAGGCAGTTCCGGGGTTACCAGAGCCCACTCCGGAGTCATTCATCCAGTGGTTTTGAACAGGCTCTTTGAAACCCTTGGACTCTTCAAAGGTCCTTCCAGAGATGCACAGGGAGAAAATGAAGACTAAGAGGAGTCCGGGGGTGCCCAGCCTCCTTCTTTCCTCCACCGCCAACCAATAAAGCTCGCTTTTAACTACTTCATATGTGTTGGGCAAGTTGCAACTCTCGTGGCTCAGTGTTCTCGTCTATAAAAGGGGCACACAAGTAATGGAGGGCACTATGAATTAAGACGTGAGAAGGTTCAGAAGGGTAGCTGGAACAGTAAGAGCTCAGTAAATATTAACTATTATTTATCATACGAGCAAGTAAGATTTCATTTGAAAAATGGTTTCTGCTGCTAAAGAAATTCTGAAAGTTACCATCCAGTGCAACTCCTCATTTTCCAGTCGTTGTAACCCATCAAATTTAAGCATTTACCCAGGACTTTACAACTACTTAGTGAGGGACAAAAATGGGCCCAGCAGAAGGATCTCCTGGCTCCAGTTAGGCCCCCCGTGTGCTGTCCAGACAGGCTGATGCCAGGAAAGGAGACTGAGGGGCATTTCCAGTAGCTAAGGGAGTCTCATCAGCCTCAAGCCCCTGGGCGGCGGGGAGAGTGTCTTGTTCATCGGAGGCTCTCCAGGTCCAGGAGAGCCCCTGGCACACTACAGGTGTTTGAGAAACATCGTTGAATGGATGAGGAAGGCTTTAACCAAAGTCACACAACTGGGTGGAGGCTGAGCTGGGATAGAACTCTGGTTTCCTGGGATGAATGAGCCGAGTGAATTGCATGAAGACAACGGAGGGCTCAGTGCTCATGAGTAGTGCTGTGTGGTAGAGAGGACTGGTAGGGTGGCTCATGACCCTGTTGCCATCGACCACATGGATCCAGCCTTCCAGCACGAACCAAGAGTCTTGAGATCCAGTCCCAACTCTGGGAGTGCCACCAACAGAAAACCCCGTGGCATTTCTGTGTCTGCATTTCTGCATTTGTACAAGGTGGGGAACAGACAGCTCCTGACTTTGTCTCCAAAGGAATATGGAGATGATTAAAAGAACTTCACCCGGGATGTAGCATTGCACGCTGAGAAAAGGCCAAATGTGGTGATTTAGAGAAGGGACACTCCTGGGAAATGTGGCATTGTCCAGGAGATGGAAGGGGCGGAGAGGGAGTGTGGTGTGGGCCAAGAGGACACAGTGAGGAGGTACCAGGGGTGGTACTCAGAGAGGGGACGAGGGAACTGGTATGTGCTGAGTTTGAGAGTTTTCCTTCTCACTCAGATCAAGGACGTGTTATGGGGGAAGCATCAGCCGTAAGTGGAGCTTGATGGAAGCGAAAAGAAGAACATACAGGCCAAAGAACTATAATGAAAGAAGGAAGGAAAAAACGAAAGGATCTGGCAGACGTGGTTCCTCCTAAGAGCTTCTCACCTTCCCCAGTGCTTCCTGCAATGCCTGGTTGTGGGAGTTCTTATGAAATGAACAGTGAAGACATGCCATAGAAGGTGGAGAAGAAAACCAGAGAAAGCACATGCTTCCTTCTTTGAGGGGAGCAAAGACGTGGTGTTGTGAGGCTGCATGTCACAGGCTCCAAGGAAGAAAATACTGCATGGGGACCCTGAGTACAAATTACGTTGGAATGGATCCAGGCACATATCTGAAGGCAGCTGAATCCCTTGGAAAGAAGTTTGACATGTCTGTCTGATTGACAGAGAAATGGATTTTGATTCACAGACTGGATCAGGAGAAAGAAAGAACTTTAGATGTCAGCAGAGCTTTGTATCTCACTCATTCATTCAGCCATCCATTCATTCATTATCATTCATCAAATTACTATGCAGTTGGGGGTCTACTTTCTGCTGGACCGTGCTTGGCCTGAGGACACAGGATGGTTATGCCAGTGCCCTCACTGTGAAGGGGCTTGTGGTCCAGTTACACACGTTAGGAACAAATATGGCGGGTGCTCAGAGGATGGGGCACTGACTCCATGGAGGAATGAGAGAGGCTTCCCCTGAAGGGAGCTGACGTTCGAGTTACATGAAGTAAGTAGGAGTGAGGGCAGATCACGTAGCAGGGTGCTGGGGAAGGGCTGTGTTTACTGTCAGGCCTCAGAGGCACAGAGCATTTGGGGTGGATGGGCAGGGTGGGCTCACAGACCTGCTGGCATGACACCTGAGGAGGTTCCCATGAGAGACCCCAGACTTGTCCAATAACACTGCTGACTCTGAGAGACAGCAGGGATGAGCCCAGCATACGGTCTGTCCCATGGACCTGACGTCCCACCCCCAACCTTCCCCGCCACTGTACATTTCCTCAGCCAGACCCAAAGTCTTCGTGCCTGATCAGAGTTCTTGGGAGGGAACGGATTAGAAGCTGGGACCGCTATTTTCGCAAATAAGACACGAGCAGGTGTGGTCTCTGTGTGACCAAATGGAACGCAAGAGAGACGTTCCTCCTCTCACCTGCTGGAATCACGGTGTCTCTATCGTCAACTCTGGAGAGCAGCCGCTTTGCTCCCTGAGAAGTCGGGGCATGAACAGCAGACCCCTAGACCTGACAGGGGCAAAGGCAGTAGCAGCCTTTGCAGGGGGAAGGCTCTGGGAGACAAGAATCTGGTGGAGCACCACTTTCATCTGAGAAAAGAACTGGAAGATATGTCACGAGTGAAGGGCTGGGTGGGGCTCTTCATGCTGGCCAATAGGAGAAAGGGGCCCCATGTTACCCTCCCCAACCCCTACCTCCATCATTTTTTAAAAAACGAAATAGGTAGGTACAAAACACTATGCCTTCTCTCTCTATGTATACAGTATACCTGGAGGAAGGAAGTTCAAAAGCATCTTAGGGGAAAGCGGCATGGCTTGAGGAAACAAACAAAATGACTATGAACCCAAATACTTACAATTGGTTTAGAAGACTTTGTTTCTACAAGAAGGTTATTTCACTGTAAATGATAACAGCTTGGAATGTACTCAAAAAAGGAAAATGGACCAGTATAAATGACGGGATTTATGTGCAAGAAAAAAAGAGAGTAACGTGCAAAAGTAAAACATCGGCCCATCTGATCCTGCACCGTAAGAGCATGGAGGCCGTGTGCTGGGAGGAGGTGGGGACGGGGAGGGGAGCTCCCGCTGCAATAGCGGAGAAAGATATTAAAACTCTAATAAAAGGGAGGATCAGGGTGGGGAAGAAGCTCTGCTCTCTTTTCAAGATGCCAGAAAGTAGTCAGACATGCTGCAAAAAATGTGAAGAAATCTCTTAAAGAAGAGTTCAAGGCTAGAGACCTTTAAAAACCAGATCATTGTCTCCACATGTTTAATGATGAGCACAGATATTAAAAACACAGATGAAGAAATTGGGAGAAAAATAGGGAAAAAATCAAAGCCAAATAAAGAGAACTGGATAAACAGAGACAAGGATATCAAGCAAGAGAGAAGGCCAAGACTCAGAGGGCAGCTTGTCCCAGAATGGTCCAGAAGTTAGGAGGATAATGGTTGCCTTAAGTGAAGACAGACTGATGAAGGTGATGCTGAAAGGATATTGCAAATAGCAGCATTCTCCGTGAAATTATTTTCAAGGATTTCATAGAAATGTATTGAGAACCACCCATGGACCAAATACATTTACTGAATTAATCTGATTTAAAATTTAGAACTGACTCTAGGGGCCGGCCTGGTGGCTTGGTGGTTAAGTTCGTGTGCTCTGCTTTGGCGGCCTAGGATTTGAGAGTTTGGATATCGGGCGGGGATCTACACACTGTTTGTCAAGCCATGCTGTGGCAGCATCCCACATACAAAATGGAGGAAGACTGGCACAGATGTTAGCTCAGGGACAATCTTCCTCAAGCAAAAAGAGGAAGATTGGAAACAGATGTTAGCTCAGGGCAAATCTTCCTCACAAAAAAACCAAACCAAACCAAACCAACTCTAGTCAGGTAAGAGTGTTGCCAAAGCCAGGTAGTTGGTGGGAGGCAGAGCAATGATTGCAACGCCACCTCCTTCTGGCACATCCTGTGGTCTTACTGTCATTCCACAGCCCCCTGCCCTTCTGCCAGATCAAAGACAGGTCCCTGACCAGTGCCGGGCACCGACTGATGCCAGGACTGTGCTTTGTCACAGTGTGCGTGGTGAGGTTGTGGCCGCAGAGTGTAATCCTTTGCTGACAGCTCTCACCAGGTCCCCAAGGGTTGCTTGAGCTGTGCTTCGGCTGTCTTCAAAGGCGTGGGAAGAATAGTTGAAGTTGTCAGACATGGAGAGGCACTATGACGCCTATTCTCTGGGGTAAGGCAACCTAGATTCAAGTTCCCAGCCTTTCCATGGATGAGTTATGTGACATCTCTAAGCCTCAGTCGCTTCATCTGTAACATAGGAATCAACAGTGAGGACAAGATGAGGTCACACATAGAAGCCCTCAGCAGAGCACCTGGCACACAGGAGGAACTCAGTATGTTAATATGAATATCACCCCCTCCCTCAGGTAAATGGGGCAGAGGCATCGGTGGCTCTACCCAGGTTAGGCAAGGAGGTGTGGTCAGGCTGGAATGGATAACTAAGTAAAAGATAACGCTGGAGTCATCTGATGTGATTGAACACTGATGCAAAAGCTTTTCAGAAATCCCATCACCAAAGGCGGCAGGAATACCAGGGGCCGGGTTACATCAGGCACAGACCTGTACTGCAATCAGGGGACTTGAGACAATTACGTAAATACACCACCATCGCTTACTGACCATGGACCAGTTAAAGCCGATGGGAGGCTCCAGAGCAGGAAAGAGCAACTTCCCCAAAGAAGGAAGCAGGATGAGAAGGAAGCTCTGGTTCTAAGAAACTCAGTTGGCTGGACAAGATGGTGGGAAAGAGCGAGAAGGCCAGCTAGGGTGGTACAGAAAGGCCTTCTAGGGTCTTATTATAAGGGAAGAGGAGACACAAGAAATCACGGCAATGAGGCTGAGAATACTCTGGGCCAGCAGACACATGAGCTCTTCTTAGAGTATAAAAGAGGTAAGAGAAGAAGTAGGTATAGGAATGGAGCCTGTCAGAGGAAAGACCGAGTTTAGAGTGAGGGGTGAAAAGTACAGGACATCTGGATTTGTAAGAAAGTGGTATTTAGCAGTTCGGAAAATTTTAGTGGTGGATAACAATTGCAAATATGTACATATCTTTTACAATTAAACATCTATCCAACAGCAGGGAGATCCAAGAAAAGACCTGAAAAAGTATTTGTGGCTTAGAGTCTTTGGCAGGAAGATGTTAAATCCAGGACAGCTGTCCTCACACCCTGGGTAGCAATAAGGGTGAGTGGGTTTCAAGAACTATGGGACATCTGATTAGGAAGTAGAGTGGAATGTATGTGGAAACTGATTAATTCATAGGGCAGTCAGGTGATGATAAATGCCAAGTGATGAGGTCACACATTTTGCATCCAGCTTAGGGGCCAGTTCTTTCTCTCCATTCCTCAGTTTCTCGGTCTCTGAAATGGGGTTAATTGTGCCTGCTGTCACTGGTGCTGGCCACAAGGGAGGAAAGCATCATTATACAGGAATGGTGAGCATTGTTCACACGAGATGAGGGAATGTTTAGTAGGAAAGCACATTTCTTCTCCTCAACCCAATCATTTCACAGTCAGAAAACTCAAGGACCAAAGAAAGGGCTGGGGTCTTTGCAGACTCCTGGCTTGGTGGTCTCGAGCCAGTGGAGAGGGGCAGCAGCTCTGGGACACATTCAGTAACAGACAGAGGAGCTGGACCCGGGACAACACGCCCTGGAAGCGAGAGCACTTAGTGTGCTGAATGCACTTGTCTTGCTCCTGAATCAGGGGCACTGGTACTTGCCTGACTGGTTTGTGTTCATTGATGCTGAGAAATCCTAGCCACAGATAAGATGTGGGCCTGGAATTAGACAAGCAAAGGGTTAGTCTTGACTCTGCTATTGACCTGATTGTGTTACTTAGTCAAGTTGCTTGGCCCCTTGAAGCTTCATCCATGACAGGAGAGTGGAAAGCCAACTCTGACCAGTTCAAGGGATCGCAGTGAGGACGACCCATCGGTCGTTGATCCTTTGTTCATTCTTTGAACATGTATTCAGCACCCATCATGTGATGAAGAAAACAGACAGCCTCCCTAGTCAGGGAGACAGGAATTCAACAGAACCCACACTATGACATGATAAAGGATACTGAGGTCATGTACCAAGTGCTATGTGTGAAGGAAGGCAGAGAACGGCCTGAGAAAGGCCTGGGGCGGGGGGGGGGGGTGTTCAATCCCAGAGGCAGGGAGGGGCCCACCTTGAGAGGACAGCAGCGGGGGGCAGTGTAGGGAGGGCAGGTATGGTGGGCTTCACTCTGAAGGTGGCAAAGCCATTTTTGGGAGGGGTGGTCCTCCTACCCTCTGCCCCCCAGGCCGTTCCAGGCCCTGCCTCCACAGTTGACATCTTATTGGGATGCATCTTGGAACCTCTTCGTTTCTGCTGCAGACATCTGGCCAGAGCTGCTAGCAAACCTCAGCTTCCCTCCCTGGGCTCCCCTGAGAGAGGAATCTCAGGGGCAGGGCCAGTCCCCTTCTTTTCTCCAGTCCTCTCTCTGGAGCATAGCACTGTCCGCTTGGTGCTCTGGCTGGTGCCTGCAGACTGTGTGAGCTCAGTGTCTGCTCTTACTCCACCCAGGCTCCCTGGAGGGGCAGGCACAGCTCCCCAAAGAGGGAGCATTTGGCAATTCCTGCTGCGTGGGATTTCCCTGCAGGCAACGGGTGTCTCTGTAGAAATAGCTTCAGCTGAGGCGGTAGGGGCGGTCTATGCTGGTCCACCTCTCCCCCGGGAACTGGCATATCAAGGACTCTCTCCTAAAGGATGACGGAGCCTTTCCAGGGGTCACCAGGAGTCACCCCTCTCTCTCAGGTGATGGAGCAGCAGCACATTGCAGAGCCCTGCCCAGGTTAGGCAATGAGGTAGTCAGGCTGGAGAGGAGCCAGTTGGTCCTGTTCTTCTGGTTCTAGGCTCTCACCTGGTTTAAGCCAGCGTGCTCTGCTGTGCCATGCCAGTGTTCCCAAGGACAAGCACAAAGAAGACCAAGTGCCACTAGTCAGTCCTTATCCTCTGTTCTGTTAGGCCCATGGGTTTGTTAGTCCATTGGGCCCATGCTCCTCCAGTCACAGACAGCATGCTGTGTCCTTTCCACTCTGACTACATATCTCAGGGTCTTTCTCTTTTCTCTGGCTCTGCATCAGATCCAAGGATCAGAATCTTTCTCCTTTGCACCATCTGTGTTAAGAAGAGCCTCATGCATCAGCCCAGGATTTGGAGGTGATGGACATGTGGAGCCTCTGAGCGTCATTCATTTACTGATGGTCGGCTGGCCCAGGGCCCATTGGCTCCTGTGAGGAGGAAGGGAAATAAATCTAAAGAGGGTGAAACTGAAGGTGGAGATGGGAAAACCAACCCCTCACCTCTGTAAGCTGCGTCACAGGCTATAAAGCCCTTCCACGAACGCTTTTCTGGCTTAATTCTCACACAGTCTCGCAAGCCATGAGGGCTGGGTATGTTTATGTCTTTTACAGTTGATGAAACTAAAGCTCTTCATAATCTTTGGGAAGCCAGTGCCTTCTCTCGAGCTCTGTTCCTCTTTCTAGACCACCTCCCCATCCACGATGGCTGACCGAGCGTTAGCCACCAAGTCCACATTCTGCTCAGCAAGCTGGAGATGGGGATGAGGAAAGTCCCAGCTCTCCCCCAGAGCCGCACACAATTCTTCTGCTTACATCTTATTGGCCATAAATTATTCGCATACTTATACTAGCAAGGGAAGATGGAAATTCATACTTTATTCTTAGAAGTCTCCAGGTGGCCATGTTTCCCGTGAAAAATAATAGGTTTTGTGATGTTAATATACTTCTACACAAGAACAGCTGTTAGGGTAAACAGTTGGCTGTCTTTGCCACAAAATCCCCAAGAAACTGTTTGCATTCTCAGCACTGCCCAGCCTTGAAATGAGATATTTAATTTCTTCTTCTGAGTTCTCACCATGAAAATGTGATTGTTAACAGATAAAGACACCAATTTTTCTTTATTTACAGTCACTTTTTGCCACTCACATAAAGGTATTTTATTTTTATCAGTGTCAAATATGTCCACGTTTTCTTTCATTACTTCTGGGTTTCCAGAATTATTTAAATATATTTCTGCTATCACACCTCTCACTTTGCATGTAGTTATTTAGATCTAAGCTCCCCTGAGGGATTTCTGTATATGTGTATCATAGAAGTTAAATATGATCGTGATGGGAATGTTGCTTATGTTGTATGTAAAAGGTAGATTATTTCTTTGTGTCCTAGAACCTCTAACAAAATGATAAGGAAGCCACAGTTAGCTTTTGGGAACCTCTGCTTTTTGGGGGTACCCTCTTCTCCCCTCCTGCTACCACCTGCCTCTCAGGAACCTAGAGACCCGGCTTTTCCCACCTCATAGGATTCTGGGCTCCCACTATCCCCCCTGAACCTCTCCACATTCTAGCAGCTGTGGCCCCGCTGCCTGCTAGTCTCCTGTGCTGAGCCCTCCCAGAGGATTCCCAAAAGTCAGCGCCCGGTCTGCTGCCCGGCCGGGATGAAAGGTTGACCTGCCCGGCGAGAAATGAGTATATGCAAACTTGCCAACTGATTTTTCTGGAGAAAGTCCTTTCTTAATTTTTTGTATCTTTTATAAAAATGGTGGACGGTGGGTAAAATAAAACGTAGTCATTTTTTTAAATGGCCTTAATTGGCAAAATAAAATATGGGCAGTTATGTTGTTTCCATTGTGAGTGTGCCTGTGTTCAAGCAAGCTTGAGAGAGAGACACAGGGAGAGGGAGATGGGGACGGGAAGAGAGAGAGAGGGAGAGAGAGAGAGATGCACCACATGTGGTCAGGTTCTGTGGGGCAGAGGGTTGTCACGTGGACATTCTGGAAGTGTTCTGTTAGACAACAAAGGACGTTCTGACCCACCTCATGTGGTCATTTACACAGGGAGGAGGGCATGTTTTTATAGAGACCCCATTACCCTCTTGCCTGGCTCTCCTCAGGGCAAAAGGAAGGATAACTTTCTGAGGTGGAGGGGTGGAGGGATGGCGGGAAAGATGTCTTGGGTTCTCCAGGCAAACCTCAGTTAACAGGGAGAGAGACCTCGTGGCCGGCTTTGTGAGCACTGTGCTATAACTCACTCTTCCCAAGCAGCCATCAGGACACTGAGATGTGTCACCATCACTCTGTTAGTCGCCAGCAGTGTCTTGGGTTCGCTCCCTTCCTTTACTTATATTTTACCAGGTGGTTGGAACTAGTAGAGACAGGAGCAGAGATGAGGGGAGAGACGCTGATACACGTGTGTCTATGTGGGAATCCCGGCTTTGATGCGGTGTTCAGGCTTCTGGCAGTCTCCACGCTTTAGGATGTCATCCTGAATCCATAAATATATTAGAAGCACCACCCTCAGAGCAATTGATTCGTTACTGTTTTTAGATTAAAGTTGATTTGCAAGCTTAGTTAACTTTTTTTTCCTGGCAACTTTGAATTCTTCCTTAAGTTTTGTCGATAATAGCTGAGAAATGAAGAGGAAACCCCCGGAAGACTAGCAGCTGAGCCAAGACAGGAGGTGGGACAATCAACTAGAAAAATTACAGCAGACCGAGACTGTGCAGTGCGTGGTAAACAGACGGCGTAAGTCCCTCTGGGTAGTGCTACATTATGACAACAGTGATGGTCTTATTGATCATCTCTAACCACTGGAGTCACAGCCTACCTAATTTGTTTAAAATAATAGGAAGTAAAACATATAATACACCCTAGAAAGATTTCTACCAGAGATGATTAAAGTGAAAACGCATGGTGCTTACAGGGGTAAGTTTCAGCTATCTGGGAAAATACCTTACTCAAAGCACTTCTTACAGAAAGTGTTGGATAACTAGTGCCATTGTCACTGGGGCTGGGTATGTGTGTGGACTACAAGTAGACAGCCATGTGTGTCCTGCCAAGTTGCCAGGTGTGTCATTGACTGAAAGGAGGGGAAGAACAACTCTTGCCAACAACCCCAACAAGTCTGGGCAAATTGTGGGCGCTGAATACACAGCAGCCCACGCCAGCAAGCAGTTTTGAGTGCAGAGCAATCAAGCACACAAACGCTAGAACACTCAGCCTCATGATGTGTCTCTTTTGCACGTAATCTCTGTGAGAGGGGGTTGCTGCCCTTTCCCAGTTGGCCCCCTGGAAGCCAAGGATCACACCTTTTCTTGGATGGGGATCTAAAACAGAAAGGTGATCTCCAACTTGTGAGTCCTTGAAACATGGTGTGTCCCGTAGGATGATGTTCACCTATGGAATACCCTCCCCAGCCAGAAGCACTGCTCTGTGGGGGGCACCAGGATAGACCCTGTCTCCAGGATCAGTGAGACTGGGTGTTTAACTCAGCTTAAGACTTTCTAAGAACTTAGAACACCCAGCTGGTTGGCCTCAAAGATGCTGGTCCTTTCATCTGGAAGATGCCTGGGGGAAACAGAAGTCTGATGTGGTACCCAGCAGAGAGTTGGCACTTGGGCAAAGGAGTGAAAGGAATAGCTCCTATTAATTGAGTGTTTACGTCAGGCACTGAGCTCTGCTTTCCCTCAGCTCCTTTAATCCTGTCAACACCATTAAAGCAGGTACCAGGATTGTCTCCTTTACAAGGCAGGCAGCTGATGCTGCCCCAGGCTGCACAGCCTGTGACGTGGGAAGCCAGGACTCTACCCCACAGCCACTGGGTTCCAAAGCCAGCGATGTAACCACGTGTTGTGTGACCTCCATGGAGAACGTGAGTTGTGTTTAGGGGGACGGGCACACGGGGGCTCAGAGCTGCCGTCTGGGAAGGCAGCACCATTACTCGCCATTTCTACTGCTCACTACTGAAGGGGGTGTGATGAAGGGGGTCCTGTGGAGCTGGTGTCACAGCTCTGTGTGTGATGGCCTCCCGTGACATGCAGGGATTCCCACCCGGGCTCCATTCTCGTGTCCTGGGGGTGAGATCTCCCTGGGTAGGGTCGGGGTGGTGCCAACAGGGCATCTGGCTCAGGCGTGAGGAACAAGCAGGTTCAGGCAAGTCAGAGGAGCCAGAGGCGTCTCCGCGGCCCGTCTGACTGGTTCCCACAAGTGTGTTGCCCACAGAGCCAAACAGTAATGGGAGTGCTGAGTGTGTTTTTGTTCTGTAGTCAAGCTCCTGG